CATACACACAATAGTTTGTTCTTGTTCTTGAATCACACACTCGATTTTCTGGGTTTGCTCTTTAACACACACACAAACATTCGATTTTCGGGTTTGCTCTTCAAGAAAAATCGAGTTTTTGGGTTTGTTTCTAGCACTGAAAATCGATTTCTGAATCTGAAAAAAGCTTATGGTTTTTCAAGAACAATCAGTTTCTGAAAAATCGATTTAGTCCGTGTATTTTCATATCATTTCTATATCTAGGGGTTAATGAAATCAGAGAAGTAGATGATGGCATTGAATCAAATCAAAGTTGAATTCATCTCATAGCTCGATTGGGTCACCAGAATCGTAGCTAAAATCAGAGTTAAATCAAGAAGACAATGTGTGTATGTGTGTGTTGTGTTCTTAGTTCAATGAAATCCTTCATTCCTCTCTGCTACTAGAATCATAGTTGAAATCGGAGCTGACCTGATTCACGTTTCAGAGAGTAGAGATGTGAAGGAGATGATGCGTTGTTAATGAACAAGCAAGGGAGAGGTTATGATGAATAAGTAGAGGTGGGGTGAGATGTGGGTCACGTCGCTGGAGTGTGCATCTGGGTCTAAAGCCACCGGTACCAAAGTTTGCTAACGGTGGGTAGTGATAAACAAGCATGGGCGGCAGTGGGAGGTGGGTTTCTCGTCGGAGCTAGAGCGTTGATTCGGTGATTATGTTCTTAGCAAACATTTACAGAGGGAGAGGGTAGACCGGTGATGGAGAAAGAGTGTGAAAGAGAGGGGGGAGAGAGAGAGAGAGAGAGAGAGAGAGAGAGAGAGAGTAAGTGAGTGGTATTTTCTTTTTTCTTTTTTTAATTAAAATAATAAGAAAATAAATAAATTAAATTAAAGAAGAATTCTTTAAGGGCATATTCGTCATTTCAGGTTGGGTGTGGGCCAAAACCACATAAAAATGTCAACCATAGGGACCAAAACCACATAAGATATCAAAAATTGGACCACTAATGCAGAACCAAACCTTTTTGGACTAAAACCATATAATTTTGACAACAACAAAGACCATTTTTGCAATTTTGTCTAAAAATTAAAATATATGAAAAGTTAAAAGCTCCTAAAAAAATATTTGAAATAGCCGTGGATTAGAAACTTTTTGTCAAATGAAACTTTTTTTTTTAAAGAAAAAACAAAAACTCATAAAACTATTAAAATTTTATTCACAAACACACCATATATTAATAAGGTATTATTCTATATAAAGCAATTAAGAAGAAGAAACTAAATTGTTTTCAAAGTTAATGGTGATTATTTTTTAAATCTCATGTGATAATGTGATAATTGTGTAATTGATCTTTTATATCCATTTTTACAAAAATGTGTTAATCGAAAATATCTACTTTTTTTTTTTTTGGAGGAAATGTGGATTGGTGATGCTTATGTTGTCGTTTTCAGAGGATTTATGTATAGAACTGGATAAAGCTTGCCCTGTGAGCACACGATATAATAATGACCTTTAAGATTGGAACTGGCATCATGAGCTAAGGTAGGAATAGATAAATCGATGAATTGAAAAATATGATAAACCGCACTATCTGAGGGCACACGTCAACTTGCATTAAAACCTATGTGGCAGGTCAATCACAAAATACTACTAATAATTTCGGTTACCAACTAAAACTAACTTTAACAATAGTAGCTTTGATTGGAATTCTCTTATGTGCATGTTGTCTAATGAAGATATTAAGTCTATTGACCATCTTTTTTCCACTTGATCTTTGGGTAGCAGCTTATGGCCACATATTAGCACTTAGCTTATTTGGGGAGACTAAAGGGTTGTTTGATAGTTGTTGACGAAGTAAGATCTAACTAAGTTTGATTGGGTGCTCTGACCGTATCTGTTTTTTACTGAAACCTTGTTGTTTGATTATGTCTCTGACTAGTCATGTTAAATGATGAAAATAATCATTGTACCTTTCTTTTCTATTTTTTCCGGATAAAATGAATTTGTTTGCATAAAATAATAATAAAATTTTATATTTTATTTATTTCAAGAAAACATATTGTTATTTTATTACCTAAAACAAAAAATGCATAACATCATAAAATATGTTATTATTAATTACATTTAAACCAAAAATACATGGAAAACCCTAATTAGTTTCCTCCACTATTGAGCTAGTTTTGGTGTTCCTTGAAGCTAAAGAAGGAAGAAGGAGGAAGAAGGAAGCAAACATCAAGCAACAAAGTCTGCATTCTTCACCTTAGCACTCTTCTAGACCTTTGTAAGTGTCCAAGACTCGATTTTTATCATGTTAGGTTGCTAGATCTTGAGTTTTTTCCCATAAACTTCTTGTTATTGTTTGTTGGGATGGTGATATCTCTTAAAGTTTGCAACTTTATGAATCTCTGGGGCATTTGGTGTAGTTTGTGCCTTGGATCTGGAGTTTGGTTGGGTTTTCAATCCATGATGTGATTTAGGTCATAAACCCTCATTTTGATCTAATATGGTTTCAAGACATGCATTAGACATGCATGTCTATAAATCACCAACTTTTAGGTTAGTTTTGGTGCTAAAATCACTTCTGGAAAGGATAGACTTCGGACCTTATGGAATAAGTGCCTATTGGTTAAGTTCTTGCATTGTTAAGCCTTTGGGACTTAGAGATTTGGGTTTTGGACCTTTTGAGTGGTCCTAATGGATAAAGTTAAAAATTTTATCCTTCTAGATCACATTTTGGACCAGATCTGAGCTTTGGAGTTCTTGGAATCGAAGAAAACAACTTAATGCACTAATCTGTTGGAACCTCGGCTACCACGACGTGGTCCTATGTCACCACAGTGTGGCGGATGTGATTTTCTCGACTGCTTGGTAGTGTGCGGGCCACGACATGGCCAAGGAAGACCACATCATGGCGGTCGGCTGGAGTCAACATTGACTGTTGACTTTCACTGTTGACCTTGAGGGTTGACTTTTGACTTATGGACTTTTGTTCAACTATTAATATGTAGATTAAGGTCTTTCCTTGTGTGATTATCTAAGTGGCATTTAGCACCTATTGTGGGATTGTGTGGGCGTGTTGACTTTTGAGCTGCTTTGCGAGGTGAGTCTCCTCACAGTACTTGAGGGTCGAAGGCACCAATGTTGGCCCATTGGATTATGTTATAGTATGCTAGCTGTCTTTATGACTCTTGCATGTATTGTATATGTTTGTATGTATATCGGGCACGGTCCGATGCCATGCGGGGCCTGATGAGTGTGTTGGGCAGGGCCTAATGCATGTTACTGGTGTATCTGTTCCGGGCAGGGCCCGATGGTTGTCGGGCAAGGCCCATTGTATGTATTGTATGAGGTGTTTTGGGGAACTGACTAATATTTGTGCTTATGGTTTTCAGTTTATGTTTCAGGTACTTCCGGTTCGAACGGGAAGAGCTCGGGATGATCGCATTGCATACACCATGATTTTCCGCTTTATTGACTCTGATGTACTTTTGGAATGTTTATTCATATACACTGAATACTTTATGATTTTTATAAACATGTTTGGTTGATTGATTATTGAATATAAAAACAAAATTTTTCGTTCTGAGTTTTGGGACGTTACATTTAGCTTGATGAATCATTTAAATATTTGTTTGATTTTCTATTTGGATTATTTAAAGTTATTTAATTTATTGTGTCAAGTTTGATTGAAGATCTATATGTATTGAAGAGTATTCTTTGTTACCTATTTTTGATTTTAGTTAGTTAGAGGACCAATATACTATGTTTGCTTGAATCATAACTGTTTCATGATCATTAAAATAGTTGTAACTATTGATAGACCAAATTCTAGAGTTTGGTTAACAAGGAATGAACTTTAATGTGTGTGATTACATATGACGACTAATTCGTGCATTAATTAATTCTTATGACCATCAAGATTTAAAAATATCAAATCTTCCATAATACGAACCTAAGACAAAGAATTTAGATAGTTAATTGGATGACCATTGTGTTAATTGTCTTTATGATCACTAAGGTTAGATTCTGACCAAGAGGCATAACCAATTTAG